TCTTATTTTTATAGGTAGAATGTGTGTCTGGGCTGCTTCCCTTATTAAACCATAATCATGCAGCTGGGGCCAAGTCTAATCTAGACTGTGTTCCTGGAAACAAAATAATACAAGATACATAATAAAATGAAATAAGATATGCAAACAAAAGTTAGATATCTGAGCATTTCTAAGTAAATATAGGGGAATTTTATTCCAATTTCTTAGCCATTAAAGTTGAAAATATTTCTCCTAATTGGATTAAAGGAAGGAAAAAAAAAGGAGATGAGTCTGAGCATTGAGCTAGTATTGAAGATTTGCTTCATGCTGGACATCATACAGAACTTTTTTTTTTACGAATTACCTCATACAGGCCTCATCACTGCCCATGTGAGAGATGCCATTAAGTTCATTTTAGAGATGAAGACATCAAGAGATTTTTTTTTTTTTCTGACAAGGCTCAGAGAGACTTGGTCTAGGACACCTAATTAGTAAGTATAAGTACTGGAACAAGAACACAGAAATGTATGGCAGGAAACATTCATCCTGTCAGCCAGTTCTAACATCCTCATATCCATTTTCTCCTGGCCTGATTCTAATAATGTAAAGTAATGCTTTAAAACCTCTTTTCTCATTTTAAACTTTCCAAGCTCTGGCTGGTGCTGAAAGTTGCTATTTCAGTAATGGGTGCTATTGTGAGGGTTGAGGATTTTTGGATGGATACTCCCACAGTAGGTTCTTTACTCATCTGACCTATAAGTAGAGGACATTGCCTTCTCCATCTGCAAAGGGCTCTGGGGATCCATGTGTTCTTTCAGGTCATTATAGGGCTTCTCTGCTTCTCACAAAAATATCCGACTGAAGACTGTTGTGAAAATAAGAGGAGCCAAAGGTCTTTCTTCTCAGTGTTGGGTTGAAAATATCACCTTATTATCATTGCCAATATTATTATGATATTATATTGTCTTTGTACACATGCCAGCTAATATGTTACTTGGTTATTGTATCTTATGTGAGGTAGTAGTGACTATTATAAATTAGATTCTTTTTTTTTTCAAATGAAGTATGACTCAGGTAGCCAATTCTAGTCAAGTAATGCCTAAATTGTAATATTTTACAATATTAAACATAATTTCCTACTAGCATGGTATAGAACGTAATATCAAATGTTTTTGAAATGCAACCCCATGGAGAAAAATATTGACAGTTGCAGAAAGATATCACCAGAAACTGGGCCACATTAACCAACACAATAATTTCCTTCCAAATGCAAACATCCTTAACGTAAAAGAAAGGTTTTCTTCATAATGTTATAAACGTGTTCTTCCCTGCAGCAGGACTGATAATTAATACCACATATTCATGGTGAGAAATATATGGGTTTGGTCATAAATGTTCTCATGCATTTTAAACGTCACTAAAATGAATGGCCTTTATTATTTCAGAATGATAACTTGTTCCCCGACACTGCTACTTTGCAGGGGATGAAGACTGCATTGGCACGTAATGAAATATTACAGGAACACGCCGTGAGCATTTGTAAGACACACCCTTCGCTCTGAATCAATGCTGTAAGAGCAGCACATAAGGACACAAGGAATATGTTTGAGGAAATCCAACCCCTGCCCTTGCTTCCACTTACACTCTCATAAATCAGTCTAGGTGAATATCTTAAGCTCAGTTAGGAAAAGATTTAGAGGAAGACAATGCTCCTCTTTCTTTGACTTGCAGGACCAAGTGCTCTATTCATGGTTACCCCTGCTTTCTAGACATAGCTTTTTTTGGTTTGCTTTTCAGAAAATCTCCAAAGGCTTGACTTCTGTGGGCAGTTTTGTTCCACATTAAGAGAGAAGGACTTATATGTTTTCTTGCTCTGTGACACATTAAAACCATGTGAAGCCGACACAATAGGTGTGGATAAGAGCAATTGGTTTGTGTGAAGGGAAGAATTACCAACTGAGTAGAAAATTAAGACTAGGACTTCTGATTTCAGTTCTCACATATGAAGAGCTTGGAAGTGGTCCCTCCCTCCTGTCTTTACAACAAATAAGCTACATGCACTTAAAATGGATGACTTTCCTTGGACCCATCAGAGAACAGAGGTTACAGGGCCAACTCCCACTTTAGATTTTGGTGAGATGGGCAAATCCAGAGTCACAGCTGAGATCTGCTTACCTGGGGCAGAAGGAGCTGGTGCCATCAGAGGGTCAGGACCCTTAAATGGTAATTTTGAGGAAATGCTGGGGACTGAGTATGAACCAGGGGGAGAGTGAGAAACTTGTGAGGCTTACTCTTTGATGGGGCTCCAGTGAGCTTTAAGTTCCAGGAACCCAACCACTCTCAGAATGAAGATCCAAGAAGGATCGTCTTGTGACTTTGGTGTGGAAAGGGAAAGAGTAATCATCACGAAATATTCCCACAGAGTTGTTCATAACAAAGGCATACGCTTGAGGAGGTAAGACTGTACCAGAGCCTTATCCCAGTTGGGGGAGGGTATCTTTACTCCAGCTAGTTTTCTAGTCTCACCTAAGGGGAAGAAAGGTGTACCATGAAGAAGTACTTGTGAAGGTCACAGCCCAGGGACCCAGACATACTAAAAACTTGAGATTTAATCATCAGATTCCATAATGCTTCCCTCCTCCCGCACTTTATCACCACACCAGCCAGGCTCCAATGTAGTGATGGTGGATTATGATGGAAAGAGCTGTAAGATGCAGGCTGTCTCCTAAGAAGAGTGCTTAGGGAAGCCCAGAGTCAACAGGGATGATTAAAAACAAGGATACAAGAGAAAACTGAATACTCTGGCACCTACATTTATAGCAAATATTAGTATGATGTGTCTGGCTTTCAAAAAAAATCACAAAGCACGCCAAAAAGCAAGAAAAGCACAGTCCAAAGAGACAAGCAAGAATCAGAATCAGCTTTAGATATGGGACAGAAGTTGGAATTATCAGAATTTAATATAAGTACGATTAAGAACTTAAAGACTAAAGGGAAAAGAAGACAACGTGCAAGAATAGATGAGTAATGTAAGTGAAGAGATGGAAACTATAAGAAAGAGTCAAAAGGAGATGTTAAAAATCAAAGACAGAAAGGAAGAGTGTCTTTGATGCCCTCCTCGGTAGACTGGGCATGCCTGAGGAGAGAGCTAGTGAGAATGCAGATAGGTCAATAGAAACTTACCAAGTTAGAAGGGAAAGGGAAACCCAGTATCAACAAAAACAAAAAAGGGTAAAGGGAAAAAAATTCCAGAACATCCAAGAATTGTGAGCCAGTTGCAAAAGATGTAACATATACATAATTAGAATACCAGATAGAGAAGAAGCAGAAGAAATAGATGAGGTAATAACGGCTAAGAACTTTCCAAAATTAATCACAGACACTAAACCACAGATCTAAGAAGCTCAGCCTAAGAAGATGAATTACTGTACAGTCCCTCCAAAAAATAGCCAAGAAACTATACCTAGGTATATCATAATCAAGCTGCAGAAAATCAAAAACACAGAGAAAGTTCTTGAAAGAATCCAGAGGAAAAAATACACCTTACTTATATATGAACAAAGATAAGAATTATAGTGATCTTCTAATGAGAAACCATGCAAATAAGAAAAGAGTGGAGGGAGGTGTTTAAAGTTTTGAAAGAAAAACATCAACATATAATTCTATACGCAGTAAAATTACTCTTCAAGAGTAAAGAAGAAAAGATTTTCTCAGACAAACAAGACTTGAGGGACTTTTTCACCAGCAGAACTACCCTGACAGAAATGTGAAGCGAAGTTCTTCAGTGAGAAGGGAAATGATGTAGGTCAGAAACTCAGACCTACGTGAAGAAAGGAAGTGTGTCAAAGAAGCAATAAATAACGCAAAATGAAGTCTTTTGCTTTTCTTGGTTTTAATTGCACTAAAAGATAATTGTTGGTTTAAAGCAGTAATAGTAACAAAGTATCGGGTTATTGTGGCATATTGATAAGTGAAATGAGTAAATAAGCGAGTAAGAGACGAGGAGGAGGCATTAGGAATAACTGCATTACATGAAGCAGCACAGAGTTATGTGAGGTGGACTTAGATTGGTTAAAAATGCATTTTTGAAATTTCATCAACTATTGAAACTATTTTTAAAAGAAGTATAACATGCTAAAAGAGGAGACGAAATGGAATCATGAAATGCTCACCTGAAACTGGAAAGGCAGAAAAAGATAGGAATAAGAAGAAACAGAACAAATGCAATAATTAGAACAGTTGAACATGGTAGATACTGATTCAACTGTATCAATAATCACTTTAAATGCTTATATACATCAATTAAAAGGACCACTTGTTGGAGTGAATTAAAAAATAAATACGGAATTGTATCAGTGAAATAATGGTAGCTGCTCTGACAGGGAGTCCTTACAATTTCAGTGGCTTAACACAATACGAGTTTTCTTCTCACTCACGTAGAAGTTGATCAGGTTCCTAGGCCAGGTTAGGGACCAAGGTCGTCTGCACAGGGTCAGGGACCGAGGTCTTTCTATTGCATGGCTTCTTCTTCCCTAGTGCTTCATAAATTTTGCATCCGGGTGGTACAAAAGGGAAGGCGAGAGCAAAGGGTAGGAATTTATAGATGTGTAATTCACAAATTTTTCTACAAAACAACTTTGAGAATGACAACTTACTTATAGGATATTTAAATATTTTAAAGAGAAAGTATAAACCACTAGGGCTTAGAGAAAGATATCCTGTGAACATCAATTTAGGACACTCTTACATAAATATAAAGTATAATCTCTAAAATGAAAATGTAGCCTTTTGGATAAATTTGCCAAGGAAAACTTGAGATTTCAAGAAATGTAGGGGAAAAAAAGCACTTGAATTGTGTTTAAAAAATTATTTGGACAATTTCTGGAAGCCAGTTTAAATACATTGTTTTGTAAAAATTTTCGGCACAGAAAGTTTATTTTAAATGTTAAAAAAGTGGACCAATCTGGTGAATGTCTAAACCTAACTTGATTTAAATGGAAAATGCTGCTCAAAAATACTTACCTCTCTTCTAAGTTTATGACCCCTTGTTTCCATTTGGTTACCACATATTTCCATGTGAATGGTCTAGCAGATAATTAAACTCATATGTCCAAAATTTAAAAACAAAATAAAACATAAGCATCTCCACAAAAAGAACTTAACAATATTGTAAAGAGAATAAAAATAATTCAATCAATTCATTAGATGTCAGGAAAGGAGAAGAGAAAATACAAACAAAAATGACACAACACAAAATGGTAGAGAGGATCCAAGTGGATAAATCATCTCAATAGATGTAAACTGTTTAAACATATGATCAATTAAACAGAGATTTTAATTTTAATCTTTGATTTATGTACTTCTTTGTAAGAAGTAGAGTAAAACAATGACATAGAAAGGCTGAAAGTAAACACATGGAAAAGTATATTAGGGAAATACTATATTAGTAGAACTGAGACCCAAAATACATTACTAAAGAGGATCATTTTTAATGAGGAAGCTGCTATTTCCCAAGACTATTTAGCAGTTTCAACTTGTGAGTAACTAACAACACATCCTCAAACACAGGGGCCAAAACTGAAATAACTTGAAGTTGAGATGAAATTAACAAATCCACATAGAAGATTTTAACACAACTCTGTGAAGTACTGGTGTCAAGCATAGAGTTTAATACATATACAGACATATTGAATAATAAAATTAAAACGGTCTAATGTGTATTTACAAAATCCCTCCCCCAACAACTACAGAGTAGAGAGATCACTTTTCAAGCACACACAAAGCTTACATACAGATTGACCCTACAAAGTCAATCACAACCAATGTCAGTGAATCAGTATGATATTGTCTGACCATAGCCAATAACATTATATAATGATATATTTTGAACATATGGGTATAACTTATATATTATGAATTTTAAAGCAATATTCTCTAACATATTTAATGGATTTAATAATGATGATGTTTAGATGATGATGAAGGTGGCAGCCAGTTTCAGTAGAGTGTTCAGTGGGTCATGTGCTGTGACATGTGCATGCTATAAACTTCATAACACCCTTGGGTGGGTTCTATGCTATTCTTACTTTGCTGATGAGGAAACGAAAGCACAGATCTAGTGAAGGATGGAGCTAAGATGGAAAGCCCAGACAACCTGACTTCCGTTACTATGCTTTTAACCATGACAATATGAAGAAATAAAAATGAATGGTAGAACAAAGCATCAGTGAAACACTACATGTTAAAACTTGTGGAAGGCAGTTAAATGGTTTGTAGGGAGTTTTATCTTAAATTCATGTAACAGCGTAGAAGACACGTGGAAAATTAACATTCTTTCCATGCATTCAGCACCAAAAGGTAGAAAGAGAAAAGCACAGTACACTCAGGAAACAAACTCAGGATATAAACTCAGGACATAAAGAAGCCAGAACAAAAATATGAATTAAATGTAAATCAAAGAAACAAAGCCCTAAAATCTGTTTCTTTAGAAAGAAATTCCTCTGACAAAACTGATTTTCAAAAAGGTGATATAAATATTATGAATAAAAAAAGGAAGATGAGTATATGCAGAATGGAAATATTAAAATATTAAAAATTTTATATAAATACTTGGGTGAACTGGCCAATTTTCCAGAACACTGTATATTACCAAAATTGACAGAAAAGAAATTTTAAAAAACAAATTAATCTAAAACCATTGTCACTTAACTGGCAGTCAAGAACCTACCCACAAAACCAGACACTTTTTTAGTACAGGTTTTACTAAATCTTCATAGGAGAGAGGACATCTATTTGGGGCACACTTTCAAAAACTGAGGAACAGGGAAGTTTTCCAGCTCACGAAATTCAGACAGAGATGGAGAGGAAGGAGTGTAATACGGGCCAATCCTTTTATAAGCATAGATGCAAACACTAAATAAAACATTAACGCAAATTAACACATATCATGTATTTCTATAAAATGTACAACATTTAATTTTCAAAGCATGCAGATGATCACTTTATAATTGACACACAAATTGTTTTCAGTAACAAAGTTGCATAATGATGAAAACATTGCCAAATATCTGTTTTCAAACTTTTGTCTTGATAGCAGGAATTATTTTCCAAAACAATCATTTGCTCACTTCTTATTAAAAGTGCTTTTACACTGGGACATATTAAGGGTGTGTGTGTGTGTGTTTAAATACTGCTAAGCAGGCATTTTTAATTATAGAAAAGTTCAAAAATTTGGAACCTTTTTTTTTTAGTAAGAAGAAAACATGTAACTAATCTTCAGATTCTCCAACTTTTAAAAAACTTTACTGTGAGATGACCAGTCTCTTTATGATACTTAAGATTTTCATGTCAATCCCCATTTTAGTACAAACTTTGGTAAATATTTTTCTATTCAATATAATACCATCATGAAATTTACTATAATATAATCCCTAAGTCCCTCTGACTCAAAGGCTTAATGATGGAGCCAGTTTCAATCTGTATATTAAATATTAGTCAACTTAGTTGCTTTCCTATTTTTTAAATTAAAAATGAATATAAAAGGTCCATCTTGTGACCCTCTGGAATGCAAGCACTGTGAATTGGAAACTGCTGCTCTGATAAGGTAGGGGAGTCAGAAATCTTTTGCCATCAGGTCTGGGCCAGAGTGGCTAGCTGTCAAGTGAGGTTTTAGGATGACACCCAGAGATGGGAGTGAGATATTTTACCTCTGTTTTCAGGAAACAGTTGCAGCCAGAAAGGTCAGCGCTGCCACTGTCTATGCCAAGCAAGCAACACTGCTTCAGTGTTCTGGTCTAATGATAAATTCTTAAAATGTATTTTGAAGTATTAGATGTTGAGGCTTTTTGAACTTGAAATGTTTCTAGACACAGAAATGTATTATGCTAATTCCAGCTAATTTAAACACCAATGATATATTCATTATGGAAGATATAACATATAGCATTAATTATAGGGCCACATTCCAAATAGGAAGGCTGAAACACTCTTAAGGAAATTGCGTTATTCAAGACCCTGAGATCTAGCTCAGTGCTAGGGAACACCATGGACTTTATACACACTGATAGAAATTTCAACTGTCTTAACATCAAACTCCTCACAGGACTTTTAAAAGAAACATCTTTTTCTGTTTTAACAGTGGAGCTAGACTCCCTGAAAGTGAGTTATACATTAGAATGTCAGTTACTTTTATTTGTATTCATTAGTGCTGGTATTGCAAACAGTCTGTCCAAGTGGAAGAAAAGAAGAGACTAAAGTCCTTCAGTAACCCCTCTCATTAATTCTTTGTGCAAACAAACTCTAGTTTGGTATAAAGCAAGATAACCTAATGGACGTTTTGTAGAGGATGTGCAGCCACTTTGTTTACCAGTTAAGTTTTATCAAATAAGATGGATCAAGAAAAGCCAAGAGAAGTTTGCAGTTCTATAAATCTCAAGCTATATCTTGAACATTCCTGAAACACCCAATCTCCAGACTTCGGCTTTGAATAGATTTATAAGAGTCAAAGGTCACAGTTCTTGCAAACAGAGGAAACGGTACATAGAGTTTTTGTTTATTTTCTGTCTCTTAAAAAAATCAAATATGGCCGTCAAGGCCATAAAACACTGACACTCAACTACTAGCAGTAGCAGAAGTGGGGCCTGTGGGTGTTTTTGTCTCCTTGGTTACCATGTGTAACAAAAACAGATGCAGAATAGCTTTCAGGTTTCCTCTGTCTGGCTTTAACCAAGGTTTTAATACATTTGTTTTAAATAACAGGAATTCCATGAAACATCTGCAAAGAGAAAGCAAATCAAGTCAGTTGCCCACGAACTTAGGAATATGAACAAGATGGCATGTGGTTTGTAGAGCAGGAAGATTTTTTTTGGCTTCGGGTTGAAGGACATCCGTTTTAGTTCTAAGGTTTCTATTTATTAGGTCTTGGAATTTCGTGGAGACTTTTATTCCTCATCTGTAACATAACTGAGATCCCCTTTGTCTCAGTGTTACTAAGGCGATTACGGGAAACTACTAACAGGGAAACTTTCATTTCCGTTTTCTTTCTTTTTGTTTTTTAAAGTTAAAGAATAATACAGATTTAAGGTCTCACAATGGTATTTTGTAGCTATGAGTTCTTCCATTTCCAGAGTTGCCTCAGCTGGATGCCTGCTCTGGGCTGGCTCATCTGCTGGCTGGGGCAGACGGGAAAACCTAGGACAGTGGCGTCAGGACGAGCTACTATTGTTCTATTAGCAATACTGATCAGAATTAATTTTCTATTATCTTCAAATTTCACTTTAGAGGACGCTATACCAGGGGCGGCTGTGTCTTTCTATGGCCTTGTTGACTGGATGTATTTACAGTGGTCCTTGCACCACTACAAAGCATTTAGCTTTTCAAATGAATCGAAAATAGGAAATGAAAATATCATCTCTGTTCCATACGCAAAACAAATATGAATCATTCAACCACTCTGAATCCTTAAAAGTACGTATTTTGCTTTTTAACTTTTAAATTCTAAGCCCGTAGGGCAAATATCCTCTCTAATTCTTTCTAGTAAATTATTGATCCACAAATGCTGCTTGTGCATAATAGTTACATACAGCTAAATTGTTCCCGTACAGTAATTGATTTTAAGCTCATATAGCTAAATTGTTTTTTTAAGTCTGGAGGTTAGTATTTGCCAAAGCCTCTGTCTAGAGTTAATACAACTTTTGGTAATGGGTGAGTCATTGAAATGTCCTGCTTTATCTTTAAATCATCTCCAGTTGTCTCTTCCTCTTTTTAAGCTTTGTATATAGAAAGCTTCTGTTATTGGCAGCCTTAATTAGGAAACTCTAAGTGCCTTTAGTCCATATCCTTTGAGTCCTAGTTGGTTGCTAAGCAGTCAACTAGGAAAGACTGGGCTCTGATTGCAGACTGTTCCAGACTGCAAAATCCTGTCCATCCCGTTCAGAGACATGAACAGCTTTAGGACAGAGGTCCTCGAGCAGATTTCTAAGACTGCAGCCAAATGCTTAAAACAGTGGGACCTAGAATGACTTTAATCTTCCTGAACTAGAAGTTTCCTAGGATTAGACAGGCTCTTAAGCTGGAATACATAGCACAAAGTCCATCAATGATTAATTTC